CAGTTTCAAAAATCTGGTTGGGGAAGAGTGTGGAGAAAGCCAGAAGAGGAATTTCATGAAGATTGCATTGCATCAACAGTAAAACATTCTCCACAAGAATGTTTTGGGCATGCTTTTCTTTTTTAAAATTAGGTCCCATTGTTCTACTTACAGGTTCAGTAACTGGAAATGTATACTTTTACTTATGCAATTCCCACACTTAAGGCATTTTCTCAGCAAACCAGAAAATTTTTTTCAGGAAGATGTCGTGCCAACTACTGCGGGAGAGCAGAAAGTAATCGACACTTGGGATTTAACTAGTCTTGACGGAGCGTGGCGCCTCCTATTCAAGTTAAATGTCTGGGGTACAGTTAGTGACCTTGCCAATTTCAAGGCTTTTCACTTACGGGTTATTTCACTGTAGAATGATGTTAATCCTAGATAGATAATCGCTCTCGAGTGTATCGTCGGTTATTATCGAGGGATTATTCCGATAATCTCCCGCCTGGGTACAATGGTTTATCACTAAGTATGAACGCGTTCGATAAGCTAACGATTAAATATCCTAATTCGCCACTCGGATAACTGCGGGACAAGAGGCAATTATCCTTGGTTGATATACGGATATAACGGTTTCTCAGATATATCAACTAATTTAGAGAATAGGGTCAATAATATAGGAGAGTAAATGCGATACTCGTTTATTAACAATAAGATATGAATTATAAGGAGTATAAGGATCTTAGTTCACTATGCGAAGCACACTGAAATAACACTATATGAACACCCTGACTCTAGCTGAAACTCCTTCTGCTTTATACTTTTCAATTGAGCTATTTTTAGTCGCTATTTCTAATACCGTATATTATCGTGAATAAGCACACCCCCTCGATCATATGAAAATGATCGGCAAAACCGTCACGTAAATAACAAACTTAGGGGGTTAGTTTATAGTAATCACAGTAACCAGAATTGTATTATAGAATGATTTTATAATCACTGCATTATGTAATAAACTGTTAATGAGCGGTACATTGTGCGGGTAATCATGGTAATCATGGGGGTGGGTGTGCTTATTCACGATAATATACGGTATACGTTTATTTACTTTTGCACCAATGTAATTCTCGTACCACTTGCGCTGGTGTTACCCCTGATCGAAATGTTGTTGCAGCATCGACGGGAAAGCACCGGTTCACACATCGAAGGTTGTACGAGAGTTTCTTCATTCCCAAAATATAGAGGTGCTTTTCATGGCCTGCTCAAAGTCCCGATCTCATACTCAACCCTATATTGAGAACTTGTGGGTGTATAGTTACACCAAACACTTCTTCTTTAATGAACGTATCCATGTAGATCCTCAGCCTTCAAGCATTGGTGAAAGTACCGTGACTTGGTGCGATCAATGCCAAGTAGTGAAAGCATTATCTTAAACGTTTTTTTGCGGATAGCATAATGGACAGCGTCTATTGCTTGCAGTATAATGCTCGTAAGGGAGAGGAAGTGAATCTTTTATAACACGTCTCCGTCATGTACCGCTTGGCACATGACAACCACCCGGACCATCACCTTCCTCATCCTGCTTTGCCGACTCCATATACTTGGTAAGTACGACACGACACATAACATTCTTCATCTTGTTTAGCGGCTCCATATACTTGGTAAGTGCGCTGGCGATTTTTGCCTAGGCCGCCCAAACAACTAGTGATGAGGATTAGCTGCAGGTATCCTCAGTAGCTTGTTCTAATTGTCATAAGACAACTTCGTCATCCCCGTAGTAGATTTCCGAGGGGTCTGTTCCCGTCTTTTTCTTATCATGTTCCAAAAGCCGTCAACCATTTCCCCCAATGCTAGCAGTAGCAGATATCCTGCCTAACATTGACAATTATTCCAGTGGACCATGATATCTGAAATGTAATATTGCTTGTTTTGGTGTTCTACAATACTAAAAAGAGACACAGTACATTACTCACTGTTTCCGTTGTCGCCATTGAACAACTTTGAGGAGCTGTGCCTTAAACTTGCGATGAAACCACAACCCCGTCGGAGCAAGTCAGCACCCATTTCAGAACTTCCCGAAATATTTTCTGATTGAGGTACTTGCCGACCTTGCTAATTTAGCAAGTACCTTGAAAAACAGGTTTGAAAAACTGCTTTACGTGGTTCTTCCTTCTTCCTTGGGACCTCGTTGTGGATAAAACCGCGCAATTCTGTAATAGTTCTTCCAATACGTTTCTCTCGTGCAGCAGGCCTGTTTCTAATGCAGAGCCCTCTTCTGGGCAAAGACGGTACATATGGATATATATAAATATATGGCAGACGGTACATATTGATATATTAATATTAAAAGTGGTAGACGCATTAGACGTCCAAAGCCATAGTAATAGACGAGAGAGTTTCATTTGGGTTTTCCGCTATTGCGAAATTGACTGCATAAGCCATCGTAAGTAGCACAAGGTCACGATCTGTGTAATTGTAAATATGAATGTCTTAAAATTCTTAGAGCGCGTGGCGATCTCGACAAACTAGTAAAAAAAACTGGCAAGGACCTATGAAAAACAAACAAAGAGGGATAACAGGCTGCCGTTGAATCCCATGAAGTAGACCGTATTTTCTTCTCACCAAAATGATTTTGCTCATCCTGCTACTCACTCATGGTATTATATAGAAGTATATATATATGCTGACGTCACTTGGTACAGAGATTGCCCAAAAACGTAAGGAATATACAATTCGCTTACTCAATGAGAAAGCGAGCACATTCGACGATAGCGCAGATAGTGTGTCGCCTGGCTGAGGCACAGTTTGCGTCTTTTAATGATTCGTTGAAGAAATGCGGACCAAATATCACGAAAATGAAAGAATGGGCGGGCCCTCCTCCCCAAGAATTAAATGACTTAATTGATACTGATAATAAAGTTGACGACGTTGAACAGGTACGAATGAGCGTCCTCGATAAATTTAAATTTTTGAAATTATTACCTTTTGATTGCTTGCTCTTTTATCGTTCGGTCAAATAATAACAAATCTTTAATGGCAGACACAATCAGAATCTCTATACAAAATTTCCTCAAAAATAAACACTGCATCACAAGCGTCACAATCATCTCTCTTAGGAGATCAATCGTCCCGCGAATCTTACTCGTCTGCCGCTTCTTCAAAACAACTCACTTCAAATGGGCAATTATTATCGTCTCAATCTTCGATCCAATCCCGCTTCCACAGAGAAATTCCCATTCCTCCTGCACGTCCTCCCACAGTCGGCGTTATCCAACTTCCGTCGTCTAATGTCAAACCTGCGTCTGCTGAGACTGCGTTGAAATTATCCTTTGATAGACTTGACTCTTTGCAATCAAGTACATCAGATTCTATCACCAATGCAAGTCCAGTGACACCTCCAGTATATCTTCATCTAACCAGTTTCCCCCTCAACTGACGATCCTTCCTCGAGCGGAGTCCCTTATTAATTCACCAACATCTCCCCCATCTCCTGCATCACCTAATCAGCCATGAGCGTAAAGTCGACAGCAGATTTAATTTCACGATTTTCGATCGGAATTCATCCTGAGGATCATCCTTTTATGAGGGATGATGAAAAGTCAGAGTAGCGTCAGTCATTACGGAACATGGGTTGGAGAGATTTAGAACATTTGGGAAACGGGGATTGTGATAAAGACAAAGATAAAAACGCCGAGTCGGAGGAGAACGTGAAGACAAAAAATGGGGAGGTTGAGAACACGATAAATGGGGATGTTGAGAAGAAGGTACAGAAGGAAGATGAAAGAAAAACGAATGACAACAATGCCGGTGAGAGTGAGGCTAAGAACGACACAGCGAAAATTGAGAAACCAGCAGTTAAATCCGACAAAGAAAGCGAAGCATACCTCTCTACTTCAACAACGACTGCGACTCGAGAAAAAGGCAAGATGGCACATCCGAGACAAAAGAAATAAATGCCTCTCTCCCTTCAATACCACCAAACTTTACATCCACCGCTACAATGGAAAATTCTGATCGCCTTTATGCCGCCGAGTTAGCCAACCTCACTGGTTTTTCTTCATTTCATGCCAAGAAACCGAGTCTTCATCCAACCCTCCGAACCATGATCAAGACTATTTAATATGGCTACATCCGCTATTCTCTCGGATCAAAGGAATTCTACGTGTAATAAGCCAGAGGTATGGTCAGAATCTGTTGATGAATCACCAGAAAGCTAGTTTTACGTTATCAGTTGTATCCTGTCTGGCATCCTAATACATGACGTTTCTTCTTCACCAGCAAGCCATCGGATTCTACATATTGCACAAACTTCCCTTATTATTATTACATTCATTCTTCAAGACACGCACGCCATATCCACGTTCAGCTCATTGAGTACGCTTACGCGAGCAATTGACGATATTTTTGGAAATCGTGTGGGTGAGTATACCGTATGATGGTTATAAAATATAATAATAATACCGTCGAATTTTATACAAGTTCTGATCTTCCCAGAATGGACCCAATTCTTATTTCTTCAAGATCTTAACGTACCTCCGATATTATATTTTATAGTTCTTAGAGCGCAGAGTACACTGTCTTTCTGCAGAATTCCTCATTTGCCAGGTTATATTCTTTTCTATAAAGCAAACGTCATAACAACTTGGTAAATGATATACGTGCTTGTTGATTCAGCTAAACGGGACGCGAGTCGAAATTTTTCTCAACTTTACGTCTGAATCTTGTTCGAAGGCATGGACTTTCTTCAGGGTATAATCCACCTGAAAAGTTTTCTAAGCGCTCTTCAAACGATGTTTCTTACCTACTTGTGAAACAAGATTCTCAAAGCTATGACGTCAGGAATTGATATTGAAAACTCGCCAGACTGACAATAGTGAGTGTGGGTAATGACAAGAATGAGGAACAAGAGAAGTACGCGGGCAGTATGAAATATTGATTTTCCATTAGTACTTGATCGCAATAAATGACAACTGTTCCTCGTTCTCATAAACTTATATAGTAATAATCCTTCGACATTCTTGGGATAAATTGGATATATCAAACGGACTTTTCTGAGGCAGAAACCACAGATACAACAGATCTCATGGTAGCTCAGTAGCTGGGAATTATAATGAAGTATATGAAGATGAAGTAAGCAGGACACGGATGCTCGAATGCATGTAGAGATGAAATATGAGGGAGATATGAGACCGACTGCGGCAACAGAGCCGAGGATGAACTACGAGTTTAATGTTTATGAGTTTGCCTGTGAAATTGAACGTAACAGGATTCAGCTTTCATGGTAAATCTGCTATTGTTGATTGAGAATCAGGAAGAAGGAAGGAACTCGGAACACGAGAATTCAAATTGAATTAAAGTTAATTCTTGGAAAAGGTTATTATAGGGGTAATTTGCACAAAATGTGATCGATGGGGAATTCAATTATTTTTTTATTTTTCATATCAAAGCATAAAACACAAGCGACATTTTTGTGTATATAATATTCCGTGATAACGCAAATGCTTGTTTTGTTATATTTCAGGGGAGGGGAGGGGTTTAATAATTCGTAGAGATACTGGTAGTGTCCTAATATTAATATTTGAGGAAGTCAAGTGACTTAATAAGTAGATTTCGTTCGTAACATCATAGTCTGCTTTTGGATTAAAGTCATCACGTGGCAGTTATATAGTCCTGTACAGGTTTCCAAGATTCTTTGAGAAACGTGAGCATTTGCTGTTTGTCCAAGATTATCGTTGAATACATAATTCACAAAGAATTTTATCATTAACCGTAACCGTACATGGTTTTGGTTGATATTCCATTGGTGGAAAATTCCTTATTGGCAGTATTAGTCCATCCAAGTCACCCCCACTACACATATTCGGTAAGTCTCTATATCCGTTTGCGGGAAATATCAAAACATTAACTAAACGTTCGAGGTTCGGACCTTCGACCGCTGTAACTACCCTTATATCTCCAGAGTGGAAACAAGGATTACACAGGTACCAGTTATCACTTTCCTCATGGAATAATTATCCGGGTCTGAGATACACAGATTTTTATTCGGTAACTTGGTCCCCTGAAATCGTTGACAAATACTTTTGCTTTGTTTTTGAGATCATGAAGACATGATATATGAAACAGTGATAATAAGGGTCCTGTTGTCGTATAAAACCCGCTCTGACCGTATCAGCTAATCGACGTGAAACACCCATTCGTCAATGCACCGTAACAATACCTGCATGGCACTGTGTTCGTTTTCTAGCATTCGATCGAGATCTTCTACTTGCGCATTTTAGGAGCGTAATAGCCTGCCTGTTCAAATATGCAGTTAAAATGTCGACGCCCTTTTATCACTTCCAGCTCCGTATGTGGCGAATCAAACTTGTATTGGCTCGGCCGCACTTGGATTTGCTTTCCTCGGATGTATGCAGACGTGCATAAAACACCCTTATATCCTCCAAGACGGAATTGAGAAGGTGTGCTTTTTAAATCAGAACTTCGGCAATTTGTTGGCATAGTGTTCGTGAAATCTTGCCACAACCATCGGAGAAATTGTATCCGTTTCTCATAATATCGTCAATAGTTTGAATATCGTTGACAGGTACCGTAGATGAGTCACGGAGCGAGTGCTCGAAAAGTACTGTCCCATACGTGCAGCGTATTTTGCCATCATGTTGATGTTACTTAAATCTCGCATATGCCATCAGCACATTGGTATGTACGTTTGCGGCTTAGTGTGGATAGCGTGCGGTGAAGCGGATGTTGTTGTATCAAGCAATTAACATACATGTATATGCATGTTGAAAGTAACCACAAGTTCCGTCTGGAATTAATTGATGAACCAATCTATTGTCCTTTTCCTTTAGTACAAACGTTCTGGACTATACTTTATGTTTTCCGCATGTGTTCTTTTGAAGGGATGAAATCTTGTCTGTTGTCTCCAGTAGTGAGGACAGGATAACTTAAATATCTTGATATTAATATTCATTTCTGCCACGGTCGTTGCCACCGCGGTTGCCGTAGGAGGCATTTGCGAACAAAGGCTATTGCTGCGCCATCGTAGTGGGAAGGAAGATAGTAAGATAGTGCAATTACAATCCGAAGACGTGAAATTTATGTTTCAGCTAATTTCCTTTTATAGAAATTGCTTATCTCATGATAGGATAGCCACAGCCACAGCCACAGCCACAGCCACAGAAAATTGTACCTAATCCAACGCCCACGATACCTACAGTCTTTTCGTCCAACTCGACTAGTTCCCCGTCTTCCCCTGTAAGCAATACATAACACGAGATTCCATCCATGCCGGTGCTGAAGATAACCCTACTTAATGCATTTAATTCAAACACCTTCATAGTCTTCCTGCACTCTTCTTCTCTTCAAGTTGTCAAGCCTCTCCAACTTTCCACGGGTCTTTAAATGGGCTAATACTTCAAGTGGTTGATAATCTTTCCATTTCTCTCTTCAGTGAAATGATAAAAGCGATTGATTCTGTCTCTGCTATCTGTAATGGAAATGGATATCGATTTGTCTAAATTGCCATTGTATAACATTTTATTCTAGTATTGAGGAGATCACCAACATTAGGTGATGAATATAATATTTTGACAATTAGTTTACTAGATCAATTATATTTAGAAAGAACAAGCAGTAATTGCAATTATATGCTCGTCATTTACTTGGACATTGCACATTGTTAACCCAACATTCGCTTATTTTCACGACACATATGTTGCGAAGAAAATGGCGCGCGAATTGAAAAACTATTTTAGAATAACGCGTTTTTTACGTAGTTTCTATATTTCTATATATTTATTAATTACGTTTGCAAAGTCAACCACCTTTTTCCTTGACTCCTTCTCACTTGAACCTTTGTAACATGGTCAAAACTTGAAGAACAGTGTCAAACAATTTCACATTGTTGGCTAAATGAAATTCGTTCTGCCGAAAAAGTACAAAGATTGCCCTTCGAACTATTCAGCATAACTTGGAAAACAAAGACCGTTGAACATACGAGTAGTTAATGGTCGTTCGCCCAAGGTTACACGCACAAAGTACATAGTCAACGTCGTTAATCCACTAAAGCTTAACGTTTGCTTCACAATCTGAACACATAATTCATACATTATTGCGTTATTAATATTAAAAATGTAACTCTTTATTTAGAATAGCATATTCTCAATATCGTTCTTTCTTCTGTCTTTTCATTATTATTATTCTCTGTAAATTTTCGTGAACTTTTAATATGGCATTTCTCATGACTAAATTTGGATTACAGAGTACCGTAATTTCTTATAAAATTTCGGATAATCGAGGCAATTTTCTTATCAATGAATTGGGACCAGAAAATTTTTAATGAGGGATTCAGATTGACGAAGTTGACTATTTACTGTATATCCCGCTCGATCGGACAATTAGTTGAGCCATGAAAACACGTCAACTTGCAATCAAAATCCAAGAAACTTATTTCACGTACTAATATTTAGCAGCACAAAAATCGGTGTGATGAGATATTATAAAAATGGGGATATGATTTTATATTAAAATTTTTACACGTAACAAAGCAGTAAATGAGCTTTCAGATAAGGCTACTTTTATTGTTTCTGTTGGGTAATTGTTAGATTATAAGTTTATTAATGCGCGTCATTGTTTTCACAACAAATTGTAACGTGAGATTTTTGAGCAGTGATGTAGATTGGTGACCTGAAAGAATATTATTTTAGAATTACGTAAAATGTTCTAAACCCATGACGAAACCCATTGATCATGCAGTTTCTAAATGTTATAAAACAGCCCGAACTATTGCGCCAGAAATTGTCTGACTTCCTATTTCCGATACATCTGCTTCAGACTTTCTCCTTGCTTCCCAACTCATTACCCATCTCAATTCTAGGCCACATAGTTCACAGTCTTCAAACGTTCCTCTTGTTGTCCTCGTCAACTATCATCCTACATAGCGCTTCGTCATCAC